GTCTGTTTGTCTCGCTGATGAAGACGATAACTGTCAGTGGCTGTCAGGTTGAGCACTTGACGGTGTGCAGGGACCAAAAACTAATTCACACAGATGCACGGAAATGAAAACGCAACCGCCCAATTACTGGGGGGATGTTCTAGGAATTATGCCTCCTCCCAAGGTCATTGCGGGCTTCCTCTAATCAATGATTGATTCCCAGGCCTTTAAACAGACTTACACTCACCCCTTGGGGCAAGCTCAAGTGCCCAATAAAGGCAAAACGTGGCGGCTGCTGCTCCCAGCTTGCCTGCCGTGTGCCACATGGCGTATGATTATTGCGTATACGCAATGGGGTCACTTTAACATTATGAATTATGCATAACACAGGGGCATTCATAATCATTTCTGCGGTGCTTTTACCCTTATCATCCCACCGCCGCCTATATCCCTATTAAAATCAGCGCTTTGCCTGCTCATAAATGTTTAACGCACCTGCAACTGCTGAGGCCCGAAACGAACAAACAAAAAAGTCTGGCCAGACCCGGTCCCGGCCCAGCCGCTTTTCCATATCAACGCCTACACTTGAAGCTTATTTTAAGGATTTTTTATTTTAGTTAAAATATGAAATTTGACTTTGTAATTGAAAGAAAAATGTGTAAGGCTTGTATTAAGACTAGAATTTCTAACAGGATCTAGCTGCAACTTACTGAAGGAGGTTAACATCGTTTACTATAGGAAAAATCTATATTTTTGGCTTTAACCATAGTTTTAATACTTGAATTTAAGTTAACTTGCTTACAAAAATGAATAAATGTATCGAAAAATAATTTTTTATAAGCTTAACCTTGCTAATCCTTGCATTTTTTGTCTGTGCTTAACAAAGGCTGAATATCTGGGGTATTTTGTGAAAATATGTGGCATACATAACAATGATCCCTTTTTGCCCAGACAGCTTTTCGTGCCCGGTTTTTATCTGCAGCAAAAAGTGTGCAAAAGTGGCCCAAGGGCGGAGTGGGCTAGCATTGGGTGTGCCCAGGTGAAAGGGGAGCCTGTTTTAGCCAACAATCAATGAGCAGGATCCTCGTGGGAGGCACCCCGTTTTTCAAACCCTCAAGTGCTTATTATAGTGCCATGTATTCAGAACATAAATCACATGCCCACAGTTGAGACACGTCGCTTGCTGTGTCGTCACCCATCCATCCATCCATCCATCCATCCAACCATACATACATGCAGCCATTCATTCATCCATTCCTTCATTCATTCGTTCGTTATTTATTCATATCAAATGTTGTTACCTCCCTTCTGCTGCTGCTCCTGGCGTCCTTGCCTCTCCCTGCCTCCTAACTGTCTGGCTGCATGAAATGTACAAAATGTTTGGGCTTAAATAAATACAGAAACCTCAGTGCGAAAACCGAACCCGAAAAGCCCCGGCCGCAGTAACAATGCGTCGCTTGTCGCTATTGTTGCCAATGCTCTGCAGCTTCCTCTCCAAAAACCTATACACTAAGAAAAACAGACTGGAAAATGTGATAAATGGGTTGTAAAAAGACTGAACAGAAAGCGCTTAAGTCAATTGTTATTAAAAGAAAGAATTAAATCAATTAAAGCTACATTTTTCATAATTCTAATATGATTTTCTCATCAGGAATAAAAGGTAAAATATTTTAAAAATTTTAGATATATGAAACAACTTAAAAACAAATTTTAAAATATTTATTTTATAGCTATATTTTCTCAAAAATACATATATTTTTTACCCACACATTTTTAACTACATCAACTATGATTTTTCCCAGTGTTCCTGTTACTTCTGCCCCCTTCAACCCATCCTGTTGTTCCTAGGTACGTGTGTGTTTAGCGTAGCGTAAAATAAATCATTTTGCTGCGGTAAACACACACTCACTTACACAAACACGCACACACACTCCATCCAACCCAAAAGGAGTGAGGACTAAAGCTAAAGATTCTGCAGGCTGCATAGAGATAGAGATGTTACGATAGAGGGTACAAATTGCCATGAGCAGCCATCTGTGAGCTTCTTCTCCTGCTCCCCCTTTTTGCCTTGAGTTAAGCCCCAAAAAATTAGCTGAATGAATAAAAATGACTCATTTGTACACGGAGGAATTTGAGGCGAATTAAGCAGTTGAAATCGCTGGAAAACTTCCCTGCCTGGCAGGGGCAAGGATGTGTGTGATAAGCTCAGGCTTAGCTAAGGCAGTACACCCGAAATCTGGCTAATAAACGTGGCTGACAGCGCACAAGATTGTGCGGAAAATTAACTGGGTTTACTGAAAAAAAAATTACATAAGTTGAAGGAACGAGTAAAAGTAAGTTGAGCTTGAAACATGCCAGCAAAAAAATTTCCAAAATAGTTGACGACGCTGCGTAAGGTAAAAGTTACTCAACTTGTATGCCAAAAAAACTTTTTAATAGATGCCAGCTAAACCAAAAGGAATTTCAAGCAACATTTCCAAGTTGAAGTACCTTAAAGCAGAAAAAAGAATTTAAGATTTAAAATCTACAAGAAATCAATCAAAAATATCCATAAACCAAAAAACTAATCAAATATGTGGGTTTGTGAGGATTTTATTAAACGTTTTTATGGCAATAAAAATCACTTTTTCCCCCTTCTAAAAAAATGTTATATGTGTCAGCCAATTAAATTTCAATCAAATGCAATCAATTATTTTTTCATAAATATTTATTAAAGTGAAAATAAATTTCCTCCAACCCAAACAAATAAACGCCAAAGCTAAGCCACAGAAACATATATCATTCCCGCTGACAAACTGGCCGAAATTAAATAGTATTTAAATTCAAACACAATAAAACAATAGATGAAACATGAGCATATTAAATTGTTAAATAATGTACAGCAAGTGCATGAGTTAATGTACATTAAATAAGCCTTGTTATTTGAGCAAATCAACTAAAGGAACTCAAAACCAAGCAATGCAGAGACTGCAATGTGAAATTAAATATTAGAGACAAGTATCAAGTAACTATTAATACCTCAGCAGGCTTAATTATTACACAAAACCAATAGTAATAATGTACTTCAGAAATATACAAGTACAGATATATACACAAGTACAATTATATACCTACAGAATTTAATTACGAAGCGAATAAACACACACAGAAATTGAGAGGCTGCTGCAGCTTCTAATAGAGGACGAGGCAAAATTAAGTTTTTCATGGCAAATTTATTCATGGCTTTCTCTAATTAACTTTTACGCATTCCCTGGACTAGACTGAAAAGCGATATAAAGCCCCGAAGGCCGTGGCCCTGCGCTGCCATGTGTACTCCTTACCTGAAATTGTGCGTAATTCAATTGCTCAGACCCCCAGAATCAACTGACCGGAAGCACTAAAAGCTGGCTGCCTGCCTGCACAAATATAATTAAAATGCTCCAGCTCTTGGAGGGGATAAATATATATAAACAAAACAGACTAAAAAAAAAACAGAAATAAATAAGCGCAACAGAAAAGTAAAACTTGTCATTTAATGTGCTCCGTCAAAGTAAAAAGGAAATCTAAGAGAAATTGATGATGGGGCCTTGCCTCTAGGAGAAAACTAAATTGAAGTCTTAAGTCTAAGGGGGAAAAATCTTCCCAATTCCTTGGCTTGATTTAAGAACAAGAAGAACTCAAGCCATTTTTTGGCTCACTTGCATCGTGTTCAATTTCTGGCACTCCAAGATCCGATCACACTTTTTCCGGCTGCCCTTCGCTGTTGCAGTTTTCCTGTTGCCAATCTCAAATACACGAATGTTGTGTTGTTTCCGTCAAAAGAGTAATTAAACGTACAAAGCAAACGACATTTCAACACATTTCAGGGACGCCCAGCGAGGGGTTGCTCAAAAATTAATTAAAGAAATTGTGGCTTAACGTGAAATGCAAAAACATCAAAAGTCAAAATTATAACAAAGGACTGTCGGAGACAGATATTTAATTTTATTATTATAATATAATATAATATAATTATAATTCAATTATTTATTCATTTATATAAAGAGCAGTGAAAAGCCGCGGGATTCGCAGTTTATTAACTTTAATGGAGAAAAACTGTTATTAGGAAAATAATATAGACATATCGATACCATTATAAAAGAATTATAATTAACAACAATAAAGTAATAAAAAAAACTGTTTACAAATCCTTTTAAAAGCCTTTTAAATTTTAAACTTTGGGAGTTTAATCGACTTTAAAATCTAATCAACTTCACTGCTTAAAACAAGCTTGAAATAGTCAATTATTTATTGTTAACACAATCAATTGTATTTTTTAAATTTTTTTAAAGTCTTCTTTTAAATTTATATCTTTATTTAAAACCGTAAATGAATTAGTTTTCTTTTTTTTTTCAACTAAAACTCTTTGAATTGCTCTCGTAATGCTGGCATTCAGGCATTTGTCCATTCGGCTTCTCTCTTTGGCTTCTTAGGGCCCCGGCGGTCATTGCGGCCAAGTCCGGCTCTCTTTCTGTCTCTCTGTTTGCCCTTCACACAAGCAAAAGACAGCCAAAGAGGTCCTGGAATTGCGTTTGGGTTGAGGTTGAGGTTGGGCGGGCAGGCAGGAAGGAAACCAGGAAGGAGCGTTGTCAGTATAACCTGTGAGCAAAACATTGTAAATAAAATGCAGCAGGATTCCGGATGGCAGCGGTGCCCAAAGGAGGGGCAGCCGAGTAGAGTTCTGTGTCTGGCTTGCTGACCTGCGGCGCTTTTGTGTTAATTGCGGTTGCATTTAATTACAGTTCGTTGCAACTGGCCTGGTCCCTTCCCCGACCCCTGCTGTACTGCATATTTCCAGCTGCCTTGCATTTTCCCCCGCCCACATTTAACCCGGCCTGAAACCAAGCCAAGACCTGTGTGCTAAGCTTTTAATTAAAATTAAAAATATTTGGTCTACTTTGGCAACTTGACTGGGCTGTAGTGTTTGATATATAGGGCTAGGACCCTTTAAAACCACTTTGTTTTTTATTGCTAAATTAATGCAGAGTTAAAAAAAATCGAAATTCGAAATTCGTTGTTTATTTGTACACCTCAATGATGTCCAAGATGCTCACATAGGTGCCCACAGCACCTCCAAGGACTCCGAAACACAAAAGCAATACATTAATGATCAGTTTTATCCGGAATGGTCCATAGCCCTCTGTATATTGAACACAAATCTGAAGTAAGGCTGGAAATATAAGACCCAGGATAGACAGGCAAAAGGATCCGACAAGGGAAAGGAAAACCGAAAGATCGGGAATTGCTATGGCACAACCAACTGTAAAAGTAAAGAAAATATTTAATTATTACTTAAAATTTTTAAAAAGTTAAATGAAAATAACTTACAGGTAAGCAGCACAATCATGGCCCTAAAGAGCAGCTCAAACCCTGTGCGCCTGGATTCCCTGACATGCTTGGATAAGTACTTATCCCACAGGATATGAGCAGTTACATAACCCTGCAAGGCATACGATATCCAAGTGGTGATGGCAAAGAAAATCTTTACCACCTGAGCAGGTCTAAAAAAAATTAAATAAAACAATTATAAAGGAATAACAACTGATAAGAAAACCTCACATTTCCGATTGGGGTATATTCAGGGTAACACTGCCCAAAGCTTCATCGCCGTATTTCCAATAACCAAAGAATCCCAGGAGAATGTACAGGCCCAGCACTATGCTCATGCCGGCATTCATGATGCCACAAGGACGTATAAAGGCTCTAGGCGTGGCCATGTTTTCTTCAATGGCCAGGATCTAATAGATCACAGAAATTATATAGTGAAAGTTTCGAAAATAATATATAAATAGTCAGCTTACTTACCACACCCACAGCTTCCAAGGCAAAGAGCACGGTGCCAAAGAAGGTAGGCAGCTGTGTGAATGCCACAAAAGGTTCTCGTTCACTAAGCGGTGGCAAGTCATCGAATATGTAATACAAAATGATGCCAAAGCCTCGGAGAAATCAACAAAAATATATATAAAAAATTAAATAAATTAATTAAATAAATATTCAAAGTAAAAGACTCACCCACAGCCAAAAGTAGATTAGCGGCACTGGAAAAGGGCGCTAGTAATTTTAAATTCCTAATACTGTAGATGACCAGAAGTGGAATAATTACGATGCACATGTGTAAACGAACATCCCAAACCACCAGATACTCATCCACCAGCTGCTTGATACTTTCAGCTATAAAAACCACATAGACGCAACAGATGCCAAAGTGATAAAAGGCCAGAAAGCCATCCACAAAGGGTCTGGAGAAGGAATAGTAAATTCATAAAAAAATTAATTTAATTAAAAGGAAAACATTAATAAATAAGGTCATTAAAAAATATATTTTATAGAGTATAGTTTTAACTTAATCCTCTGAAATATAACCAAGATTTCCAAACGGAATTTAAAATAATTAAATGTACGAAAAATTATATCTCAAAATATTTTTCACACTTCCAATAAAATCCTTCTAACTTCCCGCTTAAATCTACTACAATCTACCCCACTTTACCATAAATACTTGATTCCTTTGCAGTAAAAAGTTAGTTGTTATTACAAACAACTGACATTACGCTTGGCCAAGTTTTAAAGTGATTGAAATCTACTGATTACGGAATGATAAGAGTCATATAAACCAATAAATTCGTCATTAAAAAGCACTTTCAAAGATAATAATCAAAGCAGCGAAAACAAATTAATAACAATTTGTAGATATTACCAAGTGTTATTGTGTTATTTTTTTACTTAATAACTTACACGGCTATGGGCGCCAGGCAACGGAGCCAGGGCGGACCCTGTTTAAGGCCCAGTTTCATGGCCTCGGAAAAGCTAACATACGGCACCTTTTGGCGTTTGCACAGGATATACATGCAGTTGATCTAAAAGGGAATGTATTATTTTATAAATCAGCAAAAACTCCCATTTAAAAACCCACCAAAATATGCAGACAATACAGAGCCAGCAGTCCTATAATCAGTGTAAAGATCGTGCCATTGACATATCCCGCATGGGAGAAGGCACTGGGCATGGCCAAGACCCCAGTCCCCACGGAAGCCTTCAGAAAATGGGCAAAGGTCTGCCAGTTTCTAAAAAACAAAAATCATAAAAAAATATTCCACAAATCCTTGGATATTATTTAATGAAAAATATTTACTTACGTTGTGGGGTTCTTGACATCGCGGTGCTGATGGGGATCGTAATCATCGTCTTTACTGCCATTCGCTGGCTTTGTGGGTGTCGTTAATTCCAATTCGGTTGTTGGGTAAACCGTCACAGTTTTTATATCGGCGCTATCGAGGGTGCAATTAGTACTTGTTTGTGAAACGAATTGATTGATTGATAAAAACGTTTCGGGATCGTAAAACAAAGCAATTAGCCCCCAAGGAGTTGGAGGTTGCCCAAAGCACACACATTTCTCCCAAAAAGTTAAAAGTCGTAAAGTCGTTTAACCGGGATTTAGATGGGAGCGTCATGTTTTGTCATCAGTTAGCTAATTTTTTTACAATCCCGAAACCAGAAGAACACTAAGACGACTCACTTCATGGCGGCGATAAAGTAGCGAGCCGAGTATTTGATAAAGCTACTTGAGCTCTTCAGGTATATAAATCTTTTATCATACGCAATTAAACCAGAGACAAGATATTATATTATTTGCGATTGCGAATGCCAGTTCCTTGTAGAACCACAATACTGGAGAGGGAGGGATCTGAACCGAATGCCTGGCCCAACGGACGGATACTAAATTTGGGATCCCGGTCGAAGCCGCTCAACACCTCTCATTCCCGTAAACCACACTGATAATCTTATAAAGATAATTGTACGTTAATCAGACGCCGTTACCCTAGAGCTCTCGCGGGGAATGTGAAAAGCGGAACATTGCGTAGCGAAATATATATGCCAAAAAATATATATTATATTGTGCGAATTTCGTATTATAAACAAAGACAGTTAAAAAAATTACACACGAATAAACCCCTTAACCAGTTTCGGCGATCGCATTTGAACCTCCCAAAAGTTCAATAATCAAAAAATTAACAAATTGTTGACTTTTTATAGCAAAAGCTAAACCCCGACAGCAACCAAGTAACTTGGAAGTTAGCTGAGATAGCCACTTTGGGCTGAAGAAAGCTTAGGGATAAAAGCTTATGCACAGTGCTCAAAAATGTATATTGTTGAGATAAAAAACTGAAACTGAACTATTAGTAAGTTTACTTTATTTAAAAGAAGAAATTGCAAACAAAAATATTCAAAACAAAATCACGTGAAATATAAAATAAATAAATATTTCTTCATAAGATAATTTTAGGATTTATTTCAGTTGTATTTTTTTTATTAAAAATTTTTTTCAAGAAACCTTCAATTCTTCTAAATGTAATCTGTATATCTATGTACTTTTTAATGTTCTAAAAAATATATTGTACAATAGGAATGTTTAATGTACTGGAGGCTTTCTTATGGCACCGCACTATATTCATATCCTCAAATCTCCAAGATCTTCAAATCTTCATAAAATATATTACATTTTAAGGTCTAAATTCATCATATTATTTTTCTAATCCTATGTATTTCATTATAGAAAACTATACGAAAAACTATTTCATTTTAATATTGAAATAAATAGAAATTAAAAATGTCGCACTTAAAATTTAATTTGATTTCCTGAAAAAATTTTATTTAAAATCAGAATTAAATAGATCGCGATCACCTTGGTATTAATTTAATTTGTTTATTTGATCTTATGGTATTTTTTCCATTGTGTTTATTTATTTCTGACTGCCTCAAGTTGTGTTAAAAAAAAGCTTTCTGGTATTTAACTTCCATACTGCTGGCAGCACGCTCTCCCATTCGACTAGTCAGTTGCTCGGTGTGCGTGTGTGGAAAAAGTTGGAACCCGCAGAGGGAACGCTAATTTAGAAATTGATATCTTGAGTCACAGCAACAACACACCGTCGAGTGTCTATGCAAATTTAATTGCGGCTCTCCTAAATCAGTTGGGAAGTCAACAACAGGTCGCCGCTGCTGGAATCAAAATAAAAACACACACACAGTGACAATCGGCAAATGAAACGCAAACAACAAAGGCAGCAGGAAAACCGCCTAACCGGTTTCAAAATTTCCACAGTTGACACACAGTTTTCCCCTGCCCATCTATATAGTATATTTATTTAAATTATAGTGGATCAAAGTATTTTGTGCCCTTTACGCCGCATTCGCACATATCTAGTCACTAGATATATGTCGATTGTGTGAGTTCTCTTTGTTTGTGGAAATTAATTTCGGTGCAAAAAGAAGTAAAACAAATAAAAACCGAAGCCACCCAGACGCAGACACATAACTGTGAACGAAAATCCAACCAGACAGCAGACAGCCATGGGTTATTCCATAAAGGTAAGTGGCCAAAATGTCAGCGACGAAGAAGAGCGGCTAAGAGAGAGGGAGTGGGCCAACAGTGCGTATGTGTGTTGGCTGGTGGAGTCTGCATCTCAAGCGTTGCGATCTTTGGTGTAAACCCGTTTTCGTACTTTTACTTGTCAAAATTCGGAGAAAAATAAATAGAGAGACGGGATCAGTGGGTTTTTTGTCGGTTCTTTTCGTCTGTCTGGGCCATAAAGGTGACCATAAAATGCCGGGCAGCAAGCAAACTCAGTTAATTACAGCCGAGTGCTCTGCGGCAACTAAGCCAACTGTGACTGGGGACTAGACTAAGCCAAACAACAAATTCAGTCAAATCCAAATTCATAAACAGAATATAGTGTCCGATTATCTAGTCACATTGATTAGCTGAGTGTTGGCCTTGATTTTTTGTTTTACTTTTTTCCCCTGACTCTTATCTGCCATTACAGTCTTTTGTTCATTGCGTAGAAAAAAAAGGGCTAACATCGGTGACATTAGGCAAGCATTTTCATAATAAACGTCATCCAAAGGGGTCCTTAACCTCAGACATTACACTGACAGAGAGAGAGTTTCTTGATAAAGGAAATAATGCATAGATGAACATTTATAGAAACAAATTACAGCTACATATTACGTTACTTTCTTTTGTATCAAAGAATTTTTTTGGAATTTTCTTATTTAAACAAAAATTTACCAAAATCCAACCTTATATTCTGGATCAATTGGGCATTTACTTATCATATTTTCATGTATTACAAAAGCTTATTTGGGTTCTACAATTTCTTACTTATCTTTGTTATACACGGAAGCAAATTAAAACTATATATGTATATATATTGTATAGAAAAATGGGTAATCAAATCGAGATAGAACAAAAAAGGTTGGTTTTAATTATCATGCGACCACTTGAAACTGGTGTTTACTTTTTTTTTTTTTTTTGTATAACCCTCAAATGACCACCCATAAGGTGTATAGATATGAATACCTGAAAGTGAGTACCCAGTGGCAGGTATTCCGATGTCAAGAGGGAGTAGTCCGTGTTCATTAAAAGCATTCTATCTGTATTTCAATTGTATTCTCACAGTAGTCGTTAATTTAGTTGAATATTTACTGCGTGTTTGTTTAGGCGCAGTTAATATTTTTCTTCGAATTTCCCATAACAAAGATCACTGACTAATTTCATAATCTGACACTTGCATGTATTATAAAACCAGCAAGTTCAGCTACCTTTTAATTTGAGTGTTTAGGCTTTTAAAAAATTCCCTTAAAATCTTAACGAATGGATAATAAAACAAGCTTTAAGTAGATAGTTATTTGTTATTTCTAGTTCTTATAAGCTGTACCTTATAATTAATGCATTAGTCACAGCAAAAGCTTTCATTAAGATTGAAGAATAGATTGCATACAGTTCAAGTATTTATTTTATTTCTTTTATATGTAAATGTTTCTTCATATTTATTGTAATTTAAAACATGCATACATTTTACAAAATATTTTATTTATGCTTACTAATTGATCGTTTTAGGGAACAAATCGATCTCAATTTTGATTAAATACCTTGTCAATTTCGCTGCCATCAGAATAACTTACTTTAGCACTTATCGCGTGTGCTGGGACTCAACAATTTCTCCAAGGGTCAGTTTTTTTTTTTTTGCGATATATATTCCGATCAAATCACATTTGACACGCAAACCGGTCACCGCTGCCTGAATGCCAATGCTTATGCAACTCAATCTCAAAAGTGATTATTGCCACAAAAGTCAGTGAAAAAAAAAAATGTCAGTGCCGGGTAATTGCATGTGCAATTTACAATTTTCTGCCGCGTCCATAAGTCTTAATTATACGTTAATAGGCGTAGCGGCTGTCGCAGATAAGTCACCTCGCTGCCAATCCCCATATAACTATAGTAATGATAAGCGCCGTCTGTCGATCAGCCCGCCACCACATCCCCTCTGATTTCCAGCCGAGGCTGATAAGTAGTTCGGACTTGTTCGCTTTCGTTTTTAAAGGGAAGGTTCTCCTCCCTAGTTAGTACCGAAGAAGCCATGCAGGTGGTAAGAAGACAGGTGCCAGCTCTGTAGTCTGAACTCTGAATATTTCAGGTGTCGTTTAGGTGATTCATTGGGCATACAAACGCCTGGGGTTATGATACGGTTCGGTCGCCCGATCTTATCAGAGGATCGCGTACGTGAATCTATTTTCGGGATACACAAAAACATTTCCACTGGCGCGTTTGTTTTTTATTTATTTTTTTTTTCTTCTTATTTTTATTATTGTTGGCCGCCGATAGCATTTAATAAACAACTTTGCGACGGCCAAAGAGAAAATTTGCAGAGAAATATACTCTTTGACAAGCCCGCTCTTAGAAATCTATTTCTAGATCTGCCAAAAGATCTTCCACAAAGCAAATATAGTTCATCCCAGTTAAAGGCGACTTTCGTGTGTGTCTGCTACCCGAAATCTGACTTGCAAATTTTTACCACGTTTAAAGCTCATAAATTATGCCCAAAAAACGGCGATCACGATCACGCCACCAAAGAATGACACTTGCTTCTCTTCGAAGACTCTCTTAGTCACGCTCTTAATCACAGTCTAATCGCTCCCGCTTATCTGTTCCATTCCAATCTCCTCCAGAACTGCGAAACCGGTGAGGTGGAGTACTTCTACACGGACACCACCCGAGTGAAGAGGCTTGCCTACGATGAGGAAACCGGTGAGCCCGTCCACGATCAGATGAAGGTGCGCTACAAGAAGCATGGCAATTTCCATGTGCCCAAGCACTTTCTCCGCGGAACCCTATGCGACGAAGTGGACGATGTGCTGGCCAATACGGTGAGACATGGAGCCGCCACCGATATACCCCAAAAGGCGCCCAGGAAGGCGACGCCTGGCTATGAGCGGGAGGATTATTGCCAAATGGATGGCGTGAGTAGTGTAAGTTTTATCAGAAGAATCCTCATGGTAGTTAAGAAAAGGTTCAGTTTTCAAAATGATAAATGTTGTAAATTGTTGATTAAATGCTTAAAATAAAATACTTATCAATTTTCTCTATATAGAACATCATTCTGGGTTACAAACGGAACGAGTACTTGCTGTTCCTGGTGCCCACGCTGTTCTGCTACAACTTCTTTATAGGCGCCCTGCTGGCCGTCATTGAGATCTTCCTGCACATGATGTCGCACCACAAGAACAGCCTGACCATGCAGAAGGGTCTCTATTTCCGAAGTCCCCTCCATGTGCTCTCCTCGCAGTTCTGCGCCGTCTGTCGCACCGAGAGCGACAGCAAGTACAATCGCATCTTCGACCTCTTACACAAGCAAATGCGTGCCTCCCATCGATCGGGAGCTCTAAAGGACATGGCCAAGGCCATCGGTTAACGGGGTTGGTATGGGTTACGTACATGGCTTCGTCACGATCTATATATATATATATTTTTACATATATATTTTGAAACAACAGAAACGTTTTTTTGTCACACGATCAACAAAAATAATAAATGCACTCGTTTATCACTCAAAGTGGAGGTATTGCAGCTTCTCTGGCGATTCCTGTATCCGGCTTGCTTACACTGGGATCTGACCCATGGTCTTGACATTGGGCGATACCGCAAACTTGGCCCCGGTGCAGGCAATGATGTCGTCCACGGTCAAGCCCTCGGCCACCTCAATCAGGGTGAGGCCCACGCCCTTTTCCACCTCGAAAACGGCCTTCTCGGAGATGATCAGATCGATGACGCCCTTGCCAGTGAGTGGCAGGGAGCAGGTGTCCAGGATCTTGGGGGAGCCATCGCGGGCATTGTGCTCCATGGTGATAATCACCTTGGTGCCAGGGGCAGCCACCAAATCCATGGCGCCACCCATGCCCTTGACGAGTTTGCCCTGAAAGAGAGACGGAAAATTAGAATAACATTTCTTAGGAAATCCAACAGAAAACAATGACTCACAGGAATCATCCAGTTGGCCAGATCACCGGTGGCCGATACCTCCATGGCACCCAAAATGGTAATATCAACATGTCCGCCGCGAATCATGGCGAAGCTCTCATCGGAGCCAAAGTAGGATGCACCGGGCACCACAGTAACACTCTCCTTGCCGGCATTGATCAGGTCAGGATCCACTTTATCCTTGGTGGGGAAGGGACCCAAGCCTAGGATGCCATTCTCCGACTGCAGCAGCACATTCATGCCCTTGGGAATGTAGTTGGAGGAGAGGACGGGAATGCCAATGCCCAAATTGGCATACATGCCGTCACGGAACTCCAGAGCCACTCGCCGGGCAATCCTTTCACGCAGCTCCTGAGCGGGATTCGGTGGCGGGGCGGGTTTGTTGGGATCCTTGGGCTCTGTGATCCTCACCCGCTCCACCCGCTTATTATAATCAGTGCCCTTGAAAATGCGCTTTACATAGATGCCAGGCACATGGATCTCATCGGGACTGAGGCTTCCAACGGGCACCAGTTCTTCGACTTCTGCCACGGTAATCTTGGCTGCCCGGCACATGGGTGCATTGAAATTCCTGGCCGCCTTGTTGAAGACCAGATTGCCCAAGGCATCGGCTTTCTGGGCTTTGACAAAGGCAAAGTCAGCGAAAATGGACTCCTCCATCACGTAGGTCTTGCCATTGAACTCCTTCACCGGTTTCTTCTCGCTGGCAATCTCCACTTTGCCATCTTTTGTGTATTTAACGGGTGCACCACCTTCCTGGACTAGGGTGGCATAACCGGTGGGTGTGTAGAAAGCGGGTATACCGGCACCTCCAGCGCGAATCTTCTCGGCCAGAGTTCCTTGCGGGGTCAGTTCCACGGCCAGTTCTCCGTCCAAATATTGACGCACCAGCTCGTTGTTTTCGCCCACATAGGAGCCAATCACCTTGGACAACTGCTTGCCCTTGATAAGAACACCCAGGCCGGTGTTGTCGACACCTGGAAAGAAGTTATATTATTTTATGTATATTTTTTAAATTCATTTATTATATATTACCTCCATTATTGGAGACCCCGGTAATGTTCTTGACTCCCTTCTCCTTCAAAGCATTGATCATCTTCTCCGGAATGCCGCAGATGCCAAAACCTCCAAACAGGATCTTGGCGCCATCCTGGACATCGGCCACAGCCTCTGCAGCGCTCTCATAGATCTTGCCATTTCGCTGTTTTCCCGACGTGGAGTACGAGGAGCACGCAATAAGCTGGAAAGATCAGATCGCAGGGGGAATGTGGGGTAACCATTAGCATAAAAAGCTGTTTGCCTACGGATTCAGGGGGGGTTCTCCGCCGCTGTATAGGTGAGCAAGCGGGCGTGTGCGTGTGGGGCTTGTTTGTGCAAAATCGTTACGTAAGTTGTGGCTATTTATAAGTGGAATAGTGGACTATTCCAGGCCAGGGGGGGAGCTCAAGTGGGCTGATCGCGTGGTTTCAACAAAAATAATGCTTATCACAATTGGCAGACCAATCACTAAATCAAAACAACACACACATAGAGTATATGATGTTAGTGTGTGTATTATTTACACGCAAAACACTTATATTTCGGTTAATTATTTAAATAGCACCTGTTGCTTTGATTGCTGGAATGCCAGCTTATCAGTCTTTGATCACATGATAATTCATTTAGAAGAGTAATTAAGATAGCAAAGTGATAACTGTCTTGACTTTAATCCAGTTTATCTATTTCTGGAAGATCTGTCTCATTAAGTATATTAAATTTATCTTTTTCTCACCTTGTATGAGGCCGAATATCGGGCACTCAAGTGTCCATTTTTAGCCAAACGACAGAGCATTTTAAACTTATAATTTTAAATTTACTTAAAATTATAGAGACGGATTAAAACTAAGGTCAACTGCTCCAAATCAACAGAAAACAAGAATGCGAAGCTGAACAGCTGAAGAGCGCAACAGGTATTATTAAACTAAACATTTGGGAACCAGTTCGATAACAGCTGAACAAAATTTTAAAATTAGTTTACTATTAAAAGTTATTTAAATATTTTTAGAAGTTTAAAAAATTGTAAAATATTTAAGTAATTAGATAATGATAAAAAACAAAATTATAAATATTAAATATAATCGTTACGTAAATAAAATACATTTTAAATTATAAATATAAAAAATAAATAATTAAAAAAAGTTTAATTTTTTAATTTTGTATTTTATTATTATTTAATTACTTGGTTTTTATACATATTATTACAAATATTAATTTGTATTTGTAATAATCTTTTAATATTTAATGAATATTATTATTATATATTAAAATTTTTAATATAAATAATATTTATTATAAATTAAAAATATATAAACTAACTAATTAGATATTAATAAAAACAAAATTCAATTAATTACAATTATTTTAATTGAAAGACCTAAAAAAGTAGCTGAATAATAAAAACTGCAATACAGTGTCATAAGACCATTACCAGTTCCAATTTGAATAGATTCCTAGTGTGACCGCATTGCTTCCTCCAGAAAACGACACAAAAACTACAGCTGATGGCAGCAATAACAAAATCAGCTTTAATTTGTTTATTTTTTTCGCTAAACAATACAAGTCACAACGCGCACCAACACGCTCAACCCACACACACACACACGGAGAGAAATAACAACAAATTGTTGAAAATTTGCTAAAATAACAAGACAAAAACAAGTGGCTTAGGAGCAACAAAAATGGAAATGTAAAAAATTGCGTTTTAATATTAGTTGCTATTTGCTGCAGCAACAAAAGAGCACTATTTAAAGGTGAGCTAATGGTGTTGTATTTAATTTATGCGCTATATTTCCCCCAAATATACTATATTTGCAATGAATAATTCGGTACTACGACGCAGTTGGGAAATAGGAGTGGAGTTCTTGTGGTAAAAAAAAATAGGCACCGCTGATAAGGATTTCGATGCTGGTCAATGGTCGAGACGCTGCAGAAGGCGACGGTCTGATCTTCTGCCTGGGATTTGTGTATAGTTTGTGCCGCTTATCGCGGATTCAGTGGCCGTTACAGACACGCATCACCGCCAGCTGTTTACGCGGCCACCGATCCACCGATCCACCTCGGGCACCTCTCCCCATGAGCAACTATCATTACCACCGGCTTGGCAACCAAGTCGGAGAGCGTCGAACGAATGCAATGCCAGGCGCTGAACGCTATTAATAGCAATCTTAATAGTTTTCCCGCAACAACAACTAAAGTTTCCACTCCGCACACACACACACACACACCGAATTATCAACATCACCGGCTTAATCTTTGGCTTCTGCTTGCTCTTACTGCTCCTCATTCTACTCCTCCTACGCCTGATAGTCTACCTCCTCTCAGCAGCTCATTTCCTCACGTAATCTCACGCACAAAAGAGATACAGTAAAGCTTCTGTAAAAGAATTTTTCTTTAATGAAAGCTCCGATTTTAAAAGGGAATTAAAAGTGGAAATGAAGGTCTTTACTTAATTTTAAAAATTTAATTTAATAAAAACAATAAAAAGGATGTATAGGATTGGTTTTTATAAACCTAAGCTGGCGTTGTATCTCCATATTTTTTTATACTTGTTGAAATTTTCTAGCTTTAATTAAATTTTTATTTGGAGCAAGAAAAGAAATTTAATATTCTCTGTATTTTTATATAAATTTTTTTTAATGTCATATATCTCTATTTAATGAACTTCTACAGTACTTATTTTTAATTATTTAATTTTTTATTTGTAATTAAAGCTGGCGTTCTCCTTCGATCGCCATAGCCGCATTCAGTTTGGTCTCATCGCTCCGAGCGTCCAGAACGTAAACACCATTGCCCGATGCTTGATGAGTTGCTGGTTAGCCGGAGCAGCTTCTTCGCGTCTCCTCCATTATCTGTGATTTTCCATGGCCGGGATGGAGGTGAAGGTGGAGGAACAGAAGCAGCAGCTGCTACTGGATACCCTGAACCGACTGTGGACCCAATATCTCCAGGCCTCGGAGCAGGAAGATGCGAGTGTCAAGGTTTGTGTATGAAAATCTCCTTCGTCCCCATTGATAGTCTCAGGTCTTATCGTTGTTGTGGTTGGTTTTTCTTTACTTTTATTTTATATTTTTGTATAATATATTTATTTTCTCCATTCACAGGACCACTGGCTTTGGCTTTTGTTGTATAATTTCCAGTTTCTGGATGATGAGGCGCTGGAAGATGCTTGGCTCAATAGGTAATTATATAGTTTAAGTTTTTAGATTAACATAATTTACCTTTCACCTTCTTCCAGCCACTTCAACCTGCTGCCAGAAGAGCTCTGCTCTTACTTACTGGAACAGGTCTATCAAATCATTAGCGAAGCCAAGCGATCTCAAAACAACAGCCCGGAACAGGAGCCAGAGCAGCAGGACAAGTGCATCAAGCAGCTGCGCAAGCAACACAATCTAGCTCAGGTGGGTCGAGGTACCTGCTCATCCTGGAAGTCTTCTAAGAGTGTCTTTATCTCTCCACGTTTCAGCTCATACTCAGCACGCCCAGTGATTGCAACAAGATACTTGCCCTGCGCACATTTCTCACCGACAAGTTGGGCCATCACCTGCTGGCCTTTCTTTTGCGCGTAAATATCAAGGTAAGCTTGAGTTATTTGCTCATCTTTTAAACTAATTTTTCTCTTTACCTACACAGCACATTGCTTCCCAAAAGAGCCTCTGCCAGCTGTGCATCAATCTGTTTCCTAACTGCAAGTGGAGCCCCGCCAATCAGCCACTGGCTCCATTGACCAGCATTTCCCAGTTCATAGGCAGCTTTTACCTGGCTTGGCAAAGCAAAAAACCGCGACGACAGCAGCCTCAAACAAGTCAATTAAACAACCATGAAACCAATTCCATCAAAGAGAACTTTGAGGATTTTAAAAGGACAACGAAAAGCAGCGATGACTTGGCCCTGTTGCTTATCCAACTCCTAACGCGGTGTGTGGATGCCGAGCAAGAGTCCCAGCTAAGTGTCACTGTGCATAATTTCGCTTTGGGACATTTGTGCTCCAGCTTGGAGCAAGAGGAGGAGCAAGACAACGACGAGATCATAAAATTTGAGTTACTTCAACTGATTGCCCACTGTGTGAATAATTTTTACATCCTAGAGCAGCAGCAGTTAAATGTCCATGATTTTAATAGCAATTTCGGGCAACTGCTCTATGCATTGACTGCCAATCGGAGGAGTCCCCTGCTGGCCCATGGCTTGCTCTACATTATGTTTGGCTCTCTGCACAATCTTGTGGATAATGGAGTACGGGAGCTGAATCAGATCGATGTGAGGAACTTTGATGCCTGCTTTGAGGTCTTGCAGGAGGCAGCCAACTCCAATTCGACTTCTATTTTATTCCTGCATATTTACAAGCTGCTCTTGCGACTGACAGACACCTTGTCGCGACAGGAACAGCATCTGCAGAGTCTGATGGAGAGCAGCACATCAACCACACTGCCCAAGCAACCACATACGCGCCACAAGAGGCAGAGAAGCAGTCAATTGCATTGCATGGGAGCCGGTTCCTTGAGCTGTTACTTTCAGGGCAAGCTCTACCATCTCCTGCCCAGCCTAGAGGCCGAGCTGCAGGAGCACAGTGTTAGGAGTCTGCTGCGCACGGGAAGCTGTTGCTGTCACTACAATTCGAGGAACTTTGCCACCTGCCTACAGCTGGCCACTCAGCTTTCATCAAGCAGTTATCAGAAGTTGGCCTATAAATTCCTGCACTACAATGTCTTGCACACAATCTTTGTGAAGCGGGCGCCCCAGGGATGTCCCAGTTGCGAGGAGAAGCTCAAGTCGCCAAGCTTTCACCTGGATCTACTAAGCATCTACAAGGACAACTACAAGCCTTTGCTAAACACCCCCGCCTTGCTGTTGTTTTTGAAGCATTTAAAACACATTGCTTACCTGCTCTCCTATGACTTGGCCGCTGGCATACTGGCCGAGGTGGCTCTACCCATTTTTCGCCAACATAAAGAGCTTATAGAAAGCAAAGACAATCAAAGGAGGAACAGCAAACTCTCCCCCCTGCAGCTACCTAGTAGACTAGACAACTACCGGGCTCTCCACGAATGCCTGAGCATATTTGTAATGTACTTGAGCGACATTCGGCTGGTGAAAGCCTTCTACAACGAGGAGAACATACGCTACATGCAGGATCTATTGGCCATACCAGAACTCCAGCGGGGAGTGTGTGATCTCATCAAGGTGGGCATTGATAACATTGCTTTTCTCGGGGAAAACAGCCAGGAACAGATAACGCTGAGCAGGCGACTCATCCAACTGCAGTTGAATAGCAGCGATAAGGCCTCGCAGCTATTCCAGGCCCTGCTGTCTAAGTGCTCCAAAAATTCACATAGCAAATTCTGGCTAGACGAGGGCTGTCCCTCACTGAAGCTGGAAGGACACAAGCCAGCGGACATACTCTACATAACGGCCTTGCAATGGACTTTGAACTTTGAGCTGCTCAAGACCAGCCAGTTGTTTTACAACGAGTTTGCCAAAATCTACTCGATACCCGTGGAAATGCTGGACAATGAGGATGAGGAGGTGGAATCGCCAGCGGGAGACCGGGTAACAGAGTTTCCAGAGGAGAAGAAGCTGCGGCATGGGGATAAAAACATCATTGACATACTCAAGCTGAACTACAATGCATTGGGATGTTTCCTCATGCTACCCAAAGCCGCAATGGGAGCAACCACAACCACAACAACCTCCACCGCAACCACGCCCACCGCAGGAGCCGCCGCCACCGCCACTGGCATTTGCAACTCAAGTTCATTGGAAACGCTGGTCTCGCAGCTGCCACTCGGCGGTGCCGCCTCAGTTTCAGTCTCGGTCACAACGGCTGCCAGTTCGGACTATGCGGATTCCTCTCTGGACTACGCCTCGGTAATTGATAGTTACTCCCGGGATACAGCCGCACCCTCGTTCCTTGAGCAACTCCGTTCCAGTGAGCCGGACGAGAGTATCGTGCTCTTTGACATCCGTGGCAGCAGTCAGCAAGGAACAGTCACTACCAAGGACTCAACCACTTCATCTTTGATCCTGCCAAACGAAGAGGAAGTAGCAGCCAATGGCTTAATCAGCAAGCTCTTCAACATTGTGGGCTCCATATTCGGTGGCAGTCCGGAGAGAAACTCCCCCACAAGTGGCAATATTGAAGCGGATTTACTGTGCCTGTACGAACCAAACGGGGAATGCAAGAAACTCTTGCTCAAACTCTTCGAGGCGACCATGGCCATATGCATCAAAGGGTTCCAAAACGAGGAAGGTAAGTGTCAGAGAGATTGTTTGCTTGGCTACCTCGAAGAAAATAATAACCAAGTCAGGGTATTACGGATAGCTAGAGTGTTTTAAGATGGTTTAACGTTTTTTTATAATACAAAAATAATTTATTTTTGCGCTGTCCTGTACTATGTATTAAATTTTAATTTTTGAGAATTTTAACGATGTAAATCCCAAAAAAAAAGGGTATAATTAAGAGGCATAATTCTTAAAATTTCTATGGCTAACAGTCTTTCTAAAGAGTTTCTTTTACCTATAATTGAACTATTTTTTTGTGACAAGACTCCTATAGTAGAGCATTCCCAAACCCACCATAGTTTTCCCTTGGCTAACCTCCCATCTGGTTGGTTCCCCCCTTTACATTCCGCGGCTAATGCGTTGCCAATACAGAACACAATCGACGAGCACTCGGCTCGGGTGGAAGCCCTAGAAATAAGGCCCTGGTGAGGGAGAAGCAAGAACAAGGCACCTACTGTCATCATTCCACAATCCAGCTCTAGATTCTAGACTCTCGGCTAGAGCTAAAGCTCTGTGTCTCCGGCTAATAACGGGTCGTTGTGGTTGTGATTGTGGCTGCGGACTAGGAGAGTTAATTATAAGCCAGGCAGCTAGGCTAGTTAGACAGTTAGTCAGTCGGTCGAGTATAATGCGCGGCATTTACAAGGCTCTGTGCTGTGCTGTGCTGGGATTGAATTTCTATGTGTACACACGTTACAACATCGGAGATACACAGAGACAAAGCGAGAGATACAGAGATACGGATATAGATACAGCTACAGCTACACAGGGAAGAGGCACAGAAACGAGATATACATTCCAGACTAGACACTTTTGCTTTGGCGCTCGTCCAGCGCTGACGACTCGCTCCAGTTAGGCAGACAGGAGAGATAGGTTATCAGTAAGCATCTCAACATCAACATCATCGCGCTGATAATCTCTGTTTCGTCGTTACAGTGGAGAAGATGCAGAAGCACCTGCGCAAGTTGCGCGCTATTATTCTTACTCATGCCTCGGATAATTGGTCAGAGCATGGTGAACAGCATGCCAGAGACAATGCCGTGATCCAGACCCTGCAAACTCTGCTGAAGATAGCCGAGCTATCGAGCAGCCAGCATCAGGAGCACCCGGCGGGCGTGGTGAGCAGTCCCTCGGGGGACTCGCAACAGCCACGACCACGTGCTCGTTCGTTCAACAGCGGCAGCGTGGAGTTGCCCCGATTGCTGCAGCCGGTTAAGCTGCCGGCTAAAAACTCCCTGGCCACACCACCGACTCCCAGAAGGAGGCCAAACTCCAGTGAACTGAATGCTGGAGGCGTGGATGCGGATTACTTTTCTACAAGAGCCTCCTTGAGTTGTGCCGCCGATAGCGAACTGGAGCTAAGCGAAAATGAACACGAGTTTTACCTTACCGCTGATGAAGGTTACGAGGCGGATGGCGAGATTGCAGACCTCAGCGAATCCGAGTGCGAACTCAATGGCGGCGTGATGGCGCCCAATGAATCCTGGACTCCGTTTCAGCCCTCCTCCCGTTATCGCACCCATATTATGCACCAGGGTCTCAGCCAGCTGGTAGTTCAAATGCTGGCCGAGCTTTCGCAACTCTGCATGAAGCAGCCGAATGGTTGGACCGAGAGCCTCACCCAGCTGGCCAATAGATTGTTTGTCATCAGGGATTATCTGGGCGGACCTCTGTGTCTGCTCAAGGGTTTTGCGCCGATTCTAAGCTGCAGTGATCCGAGATTGAGGGGTGAGTTGGAGTTTGCATTTAATAAGATTATTAGATCTTTATTTCTTTCCCAGAACTTCAACAATCCATCTTGGAGCTCATTACTCACCTCAATACACCAGAAATCCTGCAGTGTTACTACTCGATTCTGGCCTCCAGACAGCCTCCAGTGGATCTGCTGATGCGCCACATGCACCACATATCCTCAGGTTCACTGCGAAAGGCTCAGCCCTGCATGGAGCTAGAGTTTCCAATTAACACAGATGGCAAGATTGTGATCACTTCGGAGCCGCTGGTCAGCGAGCAGATCGAACGTATTAGACTGCATCACCAGCAATGCCAGACGAGTACTTTGTTCACCCGGGCTGCCTGCATTTTTCCGGTGACCCAAACAAGGCTTTGGCAACCTGATGGCCTGACATTATCCCTCTGGATGGAGCTGAAGGGTCAGCATATCCATCGCAACTCAATGCAGTTCAACGATGACGAGACACGTTACTCGGGAGAGGATTTAACGGTGAGTTAAGAAACATATTAGCTAAAAATCAGATAGAATTTTATGTTAATTAAATTAAATAATTTAAAATTAATTAATTTATGAATTAATTTATTATTTAGAGTATAATCAGCCCTTTAAATCCCCTTAATCCTCTCCAGAAACTGCACTTACTTTCCCTGGGCACCAACCAGGCTATGGTCAGCATTTACATAAGCCACAACATGCAGCTAATCTTTGAGCTGGTCAAGCCCAATGAGCAACTGTCGCCAGTTCGCGTAGAGGAGCATATGGATGCCAGTGCTGAGACAGCATCTGTGATATCCGCCAATACCCAGGCAGCGGCCAATGGAGGAAGCATTCGGCAAGCCCTCAAGCAGACCAAGTTAGCTCTACTCAACAGCTTCGGGCAAATGCACTTGCTCAATGGACACCAGTCAACAACGGCTGATTCCTCGGGCGGTTACTTCGAGGGCTCGCCTGTGCAGCTGCAGCATCTGCGATTGCCACGCCACAAGTGGATGCATCTAGTTTTTGGTTTCCTGCGAAAAGGAGATGCTTTGGAGATTAGCATTTTTCTGGATGGCCTGGAACAGCACACCATGCGCTTGCCTTTCCATAATCTGCGCCAGCTAACACGGGTGCATAGTTTCCAGATGCTGGCCTTGGGCGAGGGACAACCCACTAGGAGTCCCGGCAGCAATTCCTCCTCCTCGCGGTCCACCCTGGATGGTTCGTATCCCCGCTACGCTCTGTCCAATGTGATTCTCTTCAGGCGTCGATTGGTGGATCCCTCGCTTATGATGAATCTGACAGCCATGGGTCCGGATTTCACGGAGTTCACCCAGTGTCAAGTGGCCAACTGGAAGCCCAACTATGGTTTTGTGAGTCTGGGCAAGCTGGCCTCTTCGAATTTTGGGAATCATTTGGAGTGTATGCGGCAACTGAGGCAGGCTAGGGTTTTGGTCTATACCGCCCAGCAGCCGGATCTGGTGATGAGCTACGATGCCAGCCAGGAGCTGGATATGGCCTGCTATGGGCAGCCGCATGGACACATGCTGTATGGTGAGCTGCTGCAGCACCAGCCACAGACCCTGCAGGCGGCCACTTCCCTCAGCGGTGGACTCTCCACGCTGCTGTATCTTTTTGCCAGGGTGAGTTGAATTTTATTATAAACTGTGGAATATTTTTGTATACACTTGCAGGGTATTATAAATTTAATCAGAAGTATATCAGACGACTATATAATATACCATAGATAGTATTAGATATTTAGATCGATTTAGTATAAAAACCTCGAAGTACCTCGAAATGAGCTTCTTTTCGTTTACATTTATTAATATTTCAAACAGATTGTGGAGCTTAGTGGCAATGCCAATACCCAGGCATTGGCTCTGGACCTGCTGCTCCAGGTGGCCCATTCGGATGCCCAGCTGTACACAGAGTTTCAGCGGCAGGATTACCTGGCACTCATAGGCTATGTGATAAAATCCGATAAATGCAGCAAAGATGTGCAGCTACTGCGTAGTATTGTGAACAATGCCTGCTCCCAGGCGCTGATCAGCAGGAAGGGTGAATCCCTGAGTGTAAATGACAACACAATGGCTACTCTAGTGTATCCCCGCCTGCTGCTGGCCGTCCTGCAACGCTACTCGGACTGGCATCGTTCCGGGGCCACCCACTCTGATGTTCTGGACATGCTCTTTTGCTCTATTTTGGCTTTGACCCGGGATAAGCATCCTCAGCGGGACTTTAACATGGAACAGCTGCAGAAATCTGGTTTGTTGGTGGCCTTACTCAATCTCTGCAAGGTCTATGTCATCGAGTCACCGAGTCCTGTACAAATTTCACCCTATGCCGCCGAGTGTTTTGTCCAAATTCTGGCTGTGTTTGCGGGTTCACCTCCGGAATCCTCGATGCTGGATGAGATCATGAAACTGCTCCTGCTACTGCACAAGCCCAGCGAGTGTTATGTTACCCATGACAGGACGCATTTCTATTTCCTCCTGACGGCCCAGCAACCGGCCAAGGAGAGATCTTTGGTGGCAACTAATTTGAGTAGGGTTACCACTTCCCTGCGGCGGCAACTGAATCCTCCTCAGCCGCAGGAGCTGGATCCCGAGAGAGCAGAGAGAATCAAGAAGCTGCGACGCCTGCATACCAGCACATCCGCTTACAGAAAGGCCGTCAATGATTTCGAGGAGCAACTGGAGCAAATGGCCGACTGTTCGAATCTGAACAAGACTGCCCTGCGACTAATGAGTCCTGTGGAGGCCACACGTTGGCGCTTGAAGTTCAAACGGCGGCATCCTACGAACACTGGCAGTCCCAAGCGAAGTCCCCTAAAGATAGCCCGAAGGCGCATCCATCCGCACCTGCATCTGAGCAAGATGTGGCAGCCCTCAGGCCATAGTACCCCCAGCTCGGGACAGTTATCCCTGCCGAATAGGAAAACAGATTTTTATGATCAGCCCGGGATTATAAGACTTCAACAGCGTCTGCTCATCCTGCTCAAGGATTTCCTGTGCCTGCTCCCAGACTCTGCAGTGGATGTGGTTACCCGTCATTACGTAAAGCTGGAATTGCTTTTGGTGCTTGCTAACCAACGTAGTTGTGCTGTCCGGCAGGCCGTTATCCAGCTTCTTGAAGTGCTAACGAAGCGTTTGGCCAGCGGAGAACTAAATGCAGCCATCAAGTCGCTGTATCCTGTGCATCTGGCCAACCAGCTGACCATCCATGGCTGTGATATAACCATGTTTGAGGCTTGTTTGGCCTGGACTAGCGGGGTGCATGGCAGCCTGGCGGATATGCTGAACGGCGAGGCTTCTTTAAGGATACGCCAGCGCTTTGGCTTGCAGGCCCTGCTGGCCATAGCCGAGGGAACAGAGCCGCAGCGTGTGTTTAAGGCTCTCTTAAGGGTCTATATGGAGGTGGGTTATATAAATAAGAACTTTACACTTATAATTTGTTTCCTGGCTCCCTTAGAATCCCGATGATCAACCCTGTCTGATTGAGTACGGCCTGCTGCAGTGCTCGGTCAAAGCCTTGTTCAAGATCTATTCTCTACGCTTGGGCCAGCCAAATGCAGATGAGTCCATTGTGGAGCTGCTGGCCAGTATTGGTGAGCGAGCTTTGCGTTCGGTGGGTCAAATCAATGTAAGTGCTTTAAATGTTGTGATATTATTATTATTACACAATACATTTTTGAAATGTGGCCACACCGAATTATGGATATACTTAAGGTTACTTTTCTTTTCCTCAGCTCGTTTGGGACATACTCAACCTGCTGGTCTTCTACCAAGACAAGCAACCCCAGCAGATTATGCGCAGCTTCCGCACGGTGCAAGCTCAGCTCCAGCTGGAATGGCTGACCAAACTGTTTGAGCCCAACAGCTTCCGAATACCAAGCAATGATTCCTCTCTAAGTCCGACGGAGTTGCGCACCCGCGTGGAACTCCTCATCGATCGCTGCACGCAGTTTTTCACCGTGGGTGTGGCACAGACCACGGGACCTAGCTATGTGGCGAGTTCCCAGGAGCTAGCTCTCTTCCAGCTCCTCGTTTCCTACGGCATTTCCAGCAATCAACGTTGCAACAACTTTATTGCCTGGGGCCTGCAACCTTCACGGCCGCGTGACCTGCGTTCCTACATTGTAGACGCATTGTGGCGATCCCAGCAGCAGGATGAATTCCAGCGAGCCATCATTTGCGATGGCAAGATGATCAAGGCTTTGCTTTGGCTTTCATTGCTAGAGGACATGGCGGAGCCCATTGAAAATCTGCAGAGACTTTGCGATGTTTTGGGCATCAAGGAGAATGATTCGTCGTGGAATCTGGTGCATGAATTGGATCGCCTCGATCAGAACCGCAACAATATGGCGGCCAAGCAGAAGACATTGCTGGAGAAGACGATATACAGATTTGAGCCGCTGGTACAGCATTGCATTGAATCCTCCATGGTGACAACGAGAAAGGTGGCCGAACTTCAGGTGAATTTCTTAATTTTTTGAGAACTTATTGGAGCTGAAAATGTTGATTTCCCTTTTAGAACGCGGAGCGTAAGGCTCTGATGTGCCACATGAAGGTGTATGATGACACCTACACCTACACTAAATGGCTGGAGATTATACGCCGAATGACCCATGAGGGCGCACCCTGGCACTGCGCCGAGAGAGCTGAAAGGTAAGCCTTATATCCCCTTAAAGAGAAAGAAACTCATTTACAAATATTCAATTCAGCTCCTGGGAGCTGGACGACACGGAGGGACCTTCGCGGGTGCACACAAGATTACGCCGCTGCCACCTGGACATTGATCGACGCTTCTTCATGCAGGAATACAGGCCGGGCAAGGGACAACGCGAGGATCTTGAACCCTACATGCGTCCCCTGGACTACCTTATTTCCAGTTACGATCAGCAATTGAATATATCCCTGAACTCTCAAATTCTGTACAACTTTGCTGCCAAGTTCCTGCCCGTTGACGGTGAGATCGAGGGTGAGATCATTATAACCGACCTGAAGCTGTACTTTCTGGCCACGTATCGATGCCGGTACTTCAACGTCAACTGTGATATTGCCAACATAACGGAGATCTGGCTGAAACGTTACCAGCATCAGGAGACGGCCTTTGAGATACTCCTGGACACGAACAAGTCGCTGTTCTTCTCGCTGCAGAACGCCGACGATTGGAAGATCATGCGCGAGGTATTCTGTGATAAAATCGTGGCCACACCCGATCAGGCCAAAGTGCTGGCCATTACGCAGCAGTGGCGAGAGGGATTGCTCACCAATTGGGAGTATCTGATGACACTGAACCAAATCTCCGGACGTACTTACAACGATCTCATGCAGTACCCTGTGTTTCCCTGGGTGCTGGCCAACTACAGCTCGGAAATATTGGATCTAAGGGAGGCACAGAACTTCCGACGTCTGGGGCGACCCATTGCCGTGCAAGTGGAGGAGAATGAGAAGCACTATGTCAGCAACTATATGGTGAGTTGAGCTAGGAATCATGCTCTATAATAATCTCTAATAATAATCTTAATTTCAGTACATTGACAGTACAAACACCACCATGGGCTCGCTGATTCTTAAGCCCTATCACTACAGTTCCCATTACTCCAATTCCGGCACTGTACTCCACTTCTTGGTGAGGGTTCCACCGTTTACCAGCTATTTCCTGCGCTACCAGGACAATGATTTTGATCTACCGGATCGCACGTTCCATGCCTTGAATACCACCTGGCTACTGGCCAGTCGGGACAGTCCCACAGATGTCAAGGAGCTTATACCGGAATTCTTTTGCCTGCCGGAAATGTTTGATAACTTTGAACGCTTCAATTTCGGCTGTCGGCAGAATGGTGAACGTGTTGAGGATGTCTCCTTGCCTCCTTGGTGTCAGCGAGACTCGCGGCTCTTTGTGCTTATCCATCGACAGGCTCTGGAATCGGAATTGGTACGGAATCAGATTCATAATTGGATTGATTTAATCTACGGCTACAAGCAGAGCGGCGAGAGTGCCGTGGAGGCCATCAATGTCTTTCATCCGGCGGTGAGTAGTGATAACAAGGAAATCCCTTAAGGATTTTAATTGTTTTGTTGTATGCTTAGACCTACGCCGTCTTCCTGGACTCGGAGATTAGCGATCCCATAGAAAGGGAGGCGGTCAAGACGATGGTAAAGACATATGGCCAAATGCCGCGACAGCTCTTCAAGTCGCCACATCCGGCCACTAAGGCCCTGGACTATGCTCTGGTGGACAAACCAATAGTGTCCACTGTTCGCGGTCTGCGCTGGGGCGTCTATGTGGGTTCGCCGCAGCTAAAGCCACCATCCTGGGCCAACATTCACAAGATCCCCGGCACCGAGCACTTGGTTAGCTTCAGCAACACAAATGTGGTGTACGCTTTGCCGGCTAGAGCCAGTGTCATGCAAGGAGCCGACCCGGACACATACAATGTGATCTCCTGGGGCTACGATGATCGGATTGTGAGGATCCAACCGCTGAATAAGCCACAAGCCAAGCCGAAGAACTTGCTGCACAATGGAACCTTTGACGACATCACCGCCTGTGGCTGCGATGTCAACTCGAATCAGCTATGGTTTGGCCACAAATCCGGCAGGGTCAGTGTGTACAAGTGTGCCGGCGGTCTGGATGCTGCCCACCAGAGAGCTTCTGCCAAGGGAAGACAGAGCTATGTTCGTGGCTTCAGTCTGTCGTACAACTCGGCTTTCCGCAAGATGACCAGCAAGGGCATGGTAGTCGGTGGCTCTGAGAGATCTGATGAAGCGGGCAGTCTCCATCCCACGCACTCTGCTTCTTCGGTGAATTCGTCTAGCAATTCCTTTTCTGGCGATGCCCTGCAGCGTGATGGAGCCGATCTGACTTGGTTAGGACCAACACTGCTGGTGCGGCACACCGATGAGATCACTTGTATTACCCTGTCCGTGGAGTTCAAGATTGCGGTTACCGCGGGACGCGATGGCATAGCTGTGATCTGGGACCTCAATGAGTAAGGGAATCCTTTTTATCCTTTTTTTTATACCATACCCATATTCTCATATTCTATATACATTTTTCTTATAATTCCAGTTGGAGTTATGTGCGTACGATTGCCCGTCCGGCCGAGATTCACCAGTCGCCCATAACGCATGTGGCCATCAGTCCCACATTGGGTGACATTGTCACAGTGCATACACTGCCCGCCCAACCACAGTCTCCATCGGCAGCATCTGCAGCTGCCTCAAGACCCACATCCCTAGCAGTTGTGGCCGACGAGTGCTTTGAGGTGACTGAGGAAAACCTGGACGACTTTGTGAATGTGAATGTGAATCCCAATGGCAAGTCCATTCTGCGTTTGCACTCGGTCAATGCTCGGTATGTGCAGCATCTGGTGCATGAGGATCGCATCATGGCCGTGTGTTACTCGTACATCAAGGAGGGCGTGGGCGTTAATGTGATAGCCACCGCCGTGGAGGGTGGATTTGTGCGGTTCTGGTCCAGCTGGAACTTGAGCTTTGTCAGTGAACTAACCACGGGCACTTCGCCAATACGAAGGTGGGTTTTATTGAATCTATAATAAGAAATTTCTGAGAGAAATCTAGTCACAAGAAGTCTTTTTAACACTTAAACTATTTCATCCCTCTCTTGCAGCATTTGCTATTCGACACATCAGCATTTGGTGGTGCTAACGCGAGAGTCCCACATCCAGGTGTGGGAATCTGAGGGACTCTACGGGAATGCCCCAAAGTTTCCGCAAATTGTCTACAAATGAGCATCGGTTTAGACTCTTAAACATACTCACTAAACTCACACTTAAGGCATATCAATGACAAACAGATAATAAATTTAAAAAAAAAGCAGCTGAATCAAAGAACAAACTAATATTGTGTCACGGTCAACGAGGATTATTGTTTGCTTTTAAAATAAATACATATTTTCCTTTTGTGACCGCCACAAATTAGTTATATCAGAAGAAGACTTTATAAGATTCCTAGGCTTACGTCTCATAGACACACACCTTTTGTACCAAAACCTTTTATTATGATTTATAATTATACCTTTCGTATTTTTCGTTTTTTCCCTGCGATGCATCAAAATGCAATCGCTGCCTTCAATATTGTTGATATTATCAAATAAAAACTATCATATATTTTGTGAAAACTAATCGATGGACTTTTTACATTTATTATCTCTTATTTTCTCTAAAAATAGTTGGGAATTCTAGATAGAATCAAAGAAAACTCACATAATTTTTTAAACTAAATCATTTGCTTTTACAATTCTTAAGTAAAGTGCATATACAACTACGATATACATCGTAATTATTACTATATATATATCAAATATTATAATTATTACTAGATATAATCCTATATAGAGTAGCCTCCCCTGATGTCAGCACTTCCAGGGCGGTAGAAGCTTACTGTTCCCACTTGCGCTCTTTGGTTTGCCTTGTTTGCTTCCATGTTTGCCGGTTGTTAGTGACAGGATCTCATCGAGTTTATCAAAATCACTGGGAGATTTGCTTAGGAGCAGCTCTATGTAAGCCTGCAGCTTGTCCATGGGCGAGGGCGGATCCCGTTTGCCCACCACATCCAGGTTGTTCTTCTCTGTATTATTGCTGCGCTGCGATTTGCTGGTCTTGGGTGTTTCTGGATAAACAACTCGGGCATTGTTCAGATCAGGCGACTCGCCATCCGTGGTGTCATCAGAGGTGTGATTATGAGCATTTTCACTGGGGGAGGTGAGTATGGCCAGAGCCTGCTGCCATTGAGCCTCCATCACGCCATGCAGCTTCTCCGCTATGTCAGCACTGATTTTTAAGTTTAGAAAAATTAAGAATTAATTATTTTAAAAATATTCTAATATTATAAAGAGTTATCCTACCGCTTGGTTTTGTAACAGCCCAGCTTTAGATCCATCTCATCTATCTTTTTGGAGGCATTGGCCAGCTGCAGGCGGTATAACTCCACCTCTTCGCTGTGCTTCTCCTGTATGAGATTCAGTTCCTGATTGTTCTTTTCATTGATCATTTCCAGCTGCTTTACCGCCCGCTCGGCTATCAGTCTTTCGCGCTCGCGTGCCTCGTTCTTGAGATGCTCTTCGGTTTTGTCCAACTGATCTTGAAACTCCTGCATCTTCTTGGCTACCACATTCTCCATTTGCTGTTGGTAATATTGCTTTAAGGATTTTTGTTGGACCTCCAGCTTCTTTTTAAGGTTGGTCTGTGAAAAGAAGGGGTATTTTTTGAGCGAGTTTAAGTAAAAAGCTTATTTTAGACCCACCTCAGTTTCTGTTAGGTTGGCCAAGGTCTCCTGCAGGGACTTTCTCTGCGTTTCCAAGGCATCCGCTCGAGTTTTCTGCTTTTGATGATATTCCTGCAGCATTTCCTTCTGATGTGTTAAGGTGCTCTTGTCTTTCTCCAGCTCCTCTATGCGGGTTTTGAGCTTAAATATAAAATAAAATTTAAAAATATATCTTTAATGTTTAGTTAATCTAAAAACATACCTTTTCCTGCTGATAATCCACTTTGGCAAACTTATCCCTCAGCTTGTTGAGCTCCGCATGGGATAGTTCCTCGGCTCTTCTGCTGCTGTGCAGCTGGATTTCCAACTGTTCCAGCTTGTCATCCCATTGCTTGGCCTCCTGCCTTTGATGATCCATTTCCGTCTCTAGTTTTTCGTTCTTCTCCTGAAACTTGGTGGCCAAGTTGACTGCCTGCGCCAACTCGTGCTGCAGATTATCAATTTTGCCATGAGATTCGGTTCGGTCCGCTTCCAACTGGTGAATCCGGTCCCGCAGTTGCTGTACTTCATAGTTGAGGGCCTTGGCAGTTTGCTCTGCTCCGGCTAGGGCTGCATCCTTGGAACGATCCACTTCGATGGCCACTGATATGCGCTGCTGGTATTCTAGCAGCTGCGATTGCAGCGTGTGGATAGTCTTCTCCAGGTGCTGACGCCGCAATTGCTCCTCCTTAAGGGAGGGACTGCTCAGCCTTCGGTGGGGCGAGTTGTTGTTATCCAGGACAGTTCCCGTGTAGCTGTTCTTTCCCCAGAGTTCGCTCAGGCTGATGAGTTTGTTCTCGGCTTGGCCATAACTATTTCGATGGCATCTGGCTGGATCCATGGATGAGCCGGAGGCAGAGGATGCCAGCCGCATGCTGGGCAGGGAGGTAGCCGCCTGCTGCACATCCTGCACCAGCATCCGTTCGTTCCGCAGTTGTTCATCGCTGTGGTGATGAAGGTGATGATCCCGGGGCTGCCAGCGATTCCCAACGTTCTCTTCCAGATAGTGATCGATCTCGAGGAGGATATTATCCTCCGTAGACCGTTGCCGGTGCCTGATCGGGGGTTCTACAGATCCACTCTTCGGCGTGGAGTGCACCATTCCGTGTAGCACCCTGTCGCCGTGCCTCACCGTGTTTGTGGATATTGTAGATATATCGGAGTGCGTTTCGAAAGGCCGATCATCCTCTGCCTCCGCCATTCCAATGTTCTGCAGCCTGGCGTTAATATGATTTAGCTCCGTTTTCTTGCTGGGATGCAGGAACTGGTATGCCGCAGTCGTGGGTGCCGGGGGTGGTGGCATGGCCAGGGCATCCGCCGACGCTGCCGCGCCTGCGCTCATCATCTTGACCTCTTGCAGCAGCCGCTCGGCGGTGTCCGTGTAATAGTTGGGCGGTATGAGCAGCAGAAGATCGGTGTCGTCCGTGTCCGTGTCGCTCATTCCTCATACATTGTAGCGACTCCTCCAGATGGTCCTCTAAATCCGCTGAAACCTGCGGCAGATGCAATTGGTTTTTGTTGTTGTTGTTGCTATGGTGATGAGACGACGCGTAAACAACGCAACAGGGTTGTCATGCACTTGCACATATCGTGTAAAATATCGTTTAAGATATCGCATGCGAGGATATGTGTGCAGATTAGAATATTTATATGGGTAACTCTTTTTAATTTTTTTAATGCTGTAGCTTACAAAATATTTTGAATATATTCACAATCATTAAACTAATTTGCACGTTTTGTTTTGTTTATTTAAAAGAAAGAGAAAGAGATAAAACTCAACTGTCATTTTAAGCAAGTTGGCACTCCTGTCAAGATTACCGATAAACATCGTCTATCGATACATTTTTGAGCGCCCGACTCGCAACTCAGAAAATTTAGCTTGCGACAAGTGTTTTGGTAATAAATGCGCACATAGTTTCCCGCGCGGCGCCATCACGATGGCAGATGTGTGTGTCCTTTGTGTGGACGGGTTGCCGGCGATCCCCTTGAAGCCTAATGAGATATACAGAATCGGAAAACAAAAGGGTCTGGAGATTTGCATTGCCGGTGAAGTGAGTTTGAGTGAAAATGCTTCCGGTAACGAACCAAATTAATGTCTTTTTGAATGTGTACAGTCGATGGAGCTGGCCCATGGCATCGTCAGCCTTCTGCGAAGCGGTATCGTCCGCATAGCATCTGTGGCGGGCAGGATATTTGTGAACGAGGAGGAGAAGCAGATATCAGACATACGAAAGCAGGACGCCAGGGATGGCAAGGTGAGACTGCGTTTCGGCAATGTGGAGGCCAGTTTGCGGTTTAATGAGGCCCATGAAGCGGTAAGTGGACCAACAACCTGCCACATTGGAATCCCAACTATGTACATGTCTCTTGGCAGGCCCAGGACAGCAGTGGGTTCGGCGAATGCCTGAAGGACAGGTCCATTGACACAACCGATGACAGCTTGTGTATACCCGAAACACAGCCTCCGCCTGCAAATGCTAGTGTTAATACCACGGCGGATAGCTTCTGTATACCCGAGACCCAGGCTATTGTTTTCGAAAGGCCCGCGGGGAGCAAGGGAAAAGTATCGCTGGGCGATGACTTTGTGATACCCGAAACGGAGCGAGAACCAGAACCTAGTGACCTGCACCACGAAACGACAACATGTGGCAGCGATGATACCGAGTCCTCCGGTATGGGCTCCCAGATACGTATCTGCACGCAGGACTTTAATGAGTTTGATGAGGATGCCATAGACGACTTTGATTCGTCGATTATGTTGGGCGATGCCTTGATGGCCGTGGGACCGCCGAAGGTGACAAAAGAAATACCAGAGAAACTGGAGAAAAAACAGGGTAAGTCTTGAGTTTAGTTGAAAATCAAGTCTCGATAACCAATCCTTTCCCACTTAAGACAATCCGCTGGATGCCACTGACCTCGAGATGAGTGCCTTAAATTGGTCGGCCACCAATTCCAAGTGCTCTCTTCTAAACAGCACCAAGGCCGATCGTGCGGCTACCTGCATAACACCTGAGTTGAGTGCTCCTCTGGCCGACGCCATTCGTGACATCAGCACGCCTGATATCTTCGAGTTGATGGAAGCCCATGAGAAGGAGGAGACGGCACAAAGATCAAATGCTACCACACCGCAGCTTTGCGGGATAAAGCAGCTGGTTGTGGCCACCATTGAGACCCCGAGGACCACACAAAATGAAGAAGAAGATGGTGAAAATCAAGACATAAATCAAGATTTTGTGGCCACTCAGGCATTTCCAACGGGGGTTTCCAAGTCAAAGGAATCTCCAGAGAAACCCAATCAAGACTTAATCGCCACTCAGGTATTTCCTAGCAAAGGCAATAGCTCTGAAGTTAGGCAGGATGCTGAAATTGATCAAGATTTCGTTGGCACTCAGGCATTTCCTTCACGACTTTCTCTTAGAAAAGAACCTCCTGAGAAACCTAATGAAGATTTCATTGCCACTCAGGTATTTCCCAGCAAAGACAAGAGCCTTCGATCTGACAATTTCAAGGTGCCTTTGAATCAAGACTTTGTGGCCACTCAGGCATTTCCATCAAGAATCACACAGTCTACAGAAACTCCTAAAAAAGTCGATCAAGACTTTGCATTTCCTAAGCCAAATGAATCTACCAATCAAGACTTTATTGCCACTCAGGTATTTCCCAGCAAAACCCCCACTCCCGCTCGAGCTGTACAGGACTCTATAGAGACACAACCATTTCATATCAACAAGGAAAACATTCCGCAGGATACAGGTGAGTAATTAAAATAAAATGAATCTGGAAAGAGTAATTAGCTACACGGCCTTTCCAGATTCATGGAGTGATGAGATCGAAGAAATACTGAAAGAAATGACTTCTGGTAATGTAGTTTCTTCCCCGCCGTCGTCTCCCAACGAAGAAGCACTCAAGTACGTTAAGCCCTGCGTCATTAAGGATAAGGATCATAACAATAAGGTAATTGTTTATATATAGCTCAAAGATTAATCATGCAATAAATCAATATATGTTATATATTTTAGGTTTTCCTTTTCGAAAACGTTTTCCCCAACGCCGACAACAAAAATCGCTGGAAGAATGAGCTATTAGTTGAGGAGAAAAAACATCTGAAACGCACTGCCAGTACGGATAGTCAGCCAGCTTTTGTGACACGTAGGTTAATTATTCTAGTATTTGGGTAGCTGAAGTTTGTATACCTTTGTAGTTTGGAATTATAATCTGATTTTTTTTATATTATTATTTATTATTTATAAAAGAAACCCATTTAAAAATATCATAATTCAACGAAAAAGTGGTTTTTCTTTTTTCTCTCTTTAGCCATCAAGAGAAATCGACGTTTATCAGAACAATCGGAGAGATTGGATGATGATTGCGCCTCCGTAAGCTACTCGAGAAAGCGTCCATCAAGCTTGCAGGAAAAGGACAAGTCTGAACGTAAGTCCCTTTGGTAATATAAATATCTAGTTCTTATATTTTACCTTCCTTCCCAGCTCCCAATAAAAGCTTGTGCAAGATAACCGCCATTTCAGAGAAGGCGGAACTGAGTACCGAGGATGAAGAGGCTGCTCCCAAAAAGGCAGTCACTAGGCGGCCCACTCGCAAAGCTAAAACGAAGAGCCGGTCTCCTACTCCAACGGTAGAAACCAACCAGGTTAAAAAAGTAACCAGGACCAGGAGTAAGCAGGCTAAAAGTCAGGAGTACAAACCTAAGGAAACTCCACCAAAAGTTAATAAGACAATGCAACAAACTAAAGGTTCAGAGCCCGAAGAGACGAGTACAAAGCCGTCGGAGGAGATTATGTCAAAGCAAAAGGCAGCCTTGGCAAAGCCAACTGAAGAAGAGGCCGCTTACCAGGCAGCAAGTAAAAGAGAGATTAAGAAGGCAGTGGAAAGTGCCAAAAAGAATCCCAAAGAAGTTAAGGAAAAAGCTGACGAGGCAGCAACTAAAAAAGTCGCTGAGAAATTGGTGGAAAGTGCCAAAAAGAACCCTGAGGAAGCTGAACAGTCTACTTCCAAAAGGGGACGAAAGAAAACTGTCAAAGACTTGGAAGAACCTAAAGACCTGCCAAAACGCAGACCAGGCAGGCCACGTAAAGGTTCCATTTCATTAGCCGAAGATTCTATATCAAAAACTGCCAAGCCAGAAAGGAATACCAGACAGGCCGCTGTCACTGATAAAAGTTTAGCTGATTTAAAGGCCAACAAAGAGAAAACTGTATTAGAGGAGCCAGTCAATCTTAAGAAGCTTGTGGTGCGCTTGAAAAGATCCATTTCCAAGGAAGAGCCATCCACCAGCACATCGGAAAAGAAAGCTGAAGAGAAAGCTTCCAATAATCCATCTAATACATGTAAGTTTTATTGAAATCCAAGTTTATTTTTACCATTTAAAACACGTTTTACCTTGCAGCCCAAGCAAATCAGCAGGACCCCCTTAAAGGTAATTTAGTTTTTGTTATTTTAAATACCTGTTAAATAATCTCTTTTTTTTAGCAATCAATAAATATGTGAAACAGGCCAAGTCAAATGGAAAAATAAAGATAGCATTCACTGTGTGCGATCGTCTGGCTTTGATTTCAGTCATAAATGCACTTAAACGTAAGCACAATAAAACTAATAACAAGTTTTAAAAATCTTGTTAAAAATTGATATTGGTTGCTCTTTTCTTAGATGTGGTCGAAGTCACCGAGGATCCCCAGCAGTGTGACGTTCTCATCATGGACAGGGGCGAGCGCACTTTCAAGTTTCTCACGGCAATTGCCTCAAACAAGCCCATTTTCAGCTCCAAGTGGCTGGTGTCTATAAAATCAACGAAATCTATTACCGTTAAGGAAGATCATTTGTTTAGTGACTCTAATTTCCAGGAGATGTTCAAGTTTGATCCTTTTAGCGTACTACAGCATCCTTGTTTGTTAAAAGGCTTTAACTTTATGCTTTGCCGGGGCATCCAACCGAATGTCGATGAAATGAAGAGTGCGTCAAGTATATAATCTATTTAATTTTGTTTTTGGGGTTTGCTGATAAAAATATATCGAAATCTGAAGCAAAGTTGGATATGTGCCATAAATCGACATTTTGGTTGATATATTAGTCCACTTTTCATGTATAATTAAGTTAAAAAATTTTAATTTTTAAAAAGATAACATTTGTTTTGATATTTTTATGGAAATATCGAAATGTTATCGATTTATCACACTTTGCTTTATATTCAAAACGATATCAAAAGCGATAGTTTTATATATTGAACTTTTCCTCTGCATTTAGATCTCCAAACTTTTTTAGTAATCCCTTCAATCTTTCTCTCCACAGTCATCATTCAAAGTGCCGGGGGCAGAGTTTACAGTCAGCCGCCTACTTTAGCCTGCATTGAGGATCTCTACGTTGTGACCACTAGCAAGAACAAGGATGTCAAGCTGCGCAACTACGAAAACGTGCATTATATTAAGTCCGAAGGAGTAATGGCATCGCTTGTCCAACACAAAGTGGAGCTCCTGAAGGAGCACAAGGCGAAGGTGTAAACCGGAATTGTATTTGTATGAGTTAAAAAATTAGTTTAGTCTGCTTCGTTTATAGTTAGTTTTGGGTGTTTTTCTTCTTCTCTTTGTATTCAAAGATTTGTTGTTAGTTATCCTGTCAAATACATCATTTATTAGCTCCTTATTGTACTATAACTACTATTCCAACTTCTTTCGCTTTGAGCCCGTGGGCTTGTCGAACTGCTGCCGCATGCCGCCGCCGCGTTCGTTGTGAAATTTGATGTTGCTGGAGGATTCCGCATACCAGGGCGAGTCGAACTTGGTGGTGTCCTGGTCCACTAAATGCGTGTACTTGGTGCGGCCGCAGCGACCAAAGTTCTTCACCTGCATCACCTTGGGCAGAATAGTCTTGTCAAAGTGATCCTCGAGCGTGGCCTGCGCAAAGTCGCGCTTCAGGACATCGTTTTCCTCGTCCAGGTAGAAGGCGCCGCGATGGTAGTACTTTTGCAGGAACTTGTACTTGCCCTTGGTGGCCTTGTTGGTGACCAGCTTGGGGTTCTGGCGCAGCTCCTGACGTCGCTCCTCCTCGGTGAGATTGCGCATACGATCGATCTCCAGCTTCTCGCGCTCGTTGTTATCGCGCTCCTCGCGGTCCCGCTTCATTCGCTTGAGCTCGCGCAGCTTCCAGGCCTCGTACTCCACTTCGTCGTTCTCATCGTCCGTGCACACATCCTCGATGCAGGCCTCGTTTGACTCGGGTTTGGTCTTTTCCAAATCCTTTTTGACGCTCTCCTCCACCAGTCGCAGGGTGGCTCTTCTCCGCTCCTTGGCCGCTCGCTTGGCCTCTGCCTCCAGCTGCTTCTGTTTCTGGGCTTCGCGTTCTTTTTCCTGGATGGTGGCGCGATCTCTTTTCCGCACAAAGAGCGGTTTCAACCTAGGTTCGTTGTCCTCCTCGCTCTCCGTCTCCTCCTCGTATTCGGAGCTTTCCGATTCAGAGGATTCCGATTGCTTTTCGTCTTCCTTCTGGAGCACCTCCTCCTCGCGTTGCTGTTGCAGCATCCGTGATCGTAGCTTAATGCGGCGCTTCTCCAGCTCCGTATCGCTAAGCTCGGCATCTGTGTCGGATTCGGAGGCCAGTGTAATCTTGTTGGTGCCTCGCTCGAGGTTTCTTTGCTGCTCCTGGCCCTCCTTGTCCACCTCCTCTTCATCCTCGCTGTCGCTCTCCATGATTTCGGGCTCGTGGATGTGTCGGTGGCGTTCCCTGCGCTCCCGTTCCATGTCCTCCATGTCCACGGGTCTGGCTCGAAGTCGCCGCAGTCGAGGATCATCCACCTCCGCCTCGTCCTCCTCGTCCGCCGCTCCCGGGTCCTTATCTTCACCATCTGCGCTTCCTTCACGACGGGAGAGCTCCATTTTGTGGCGCTCGGCTTTGTGGCGCTCCATGCGCTTCCTGGTGTCAATGAAGTCATCGTCGTCACTCTCTTCGGTACTGGAATCGGCTCGCGCGTAATCAGGTCGCTTTCCGGATATATATCGCTGCACCTTTACCTTTTGCATGGACAATTCACCTGGTTGGGATATGATAAACAATGGATTAGTGTGGGGGAAGTGCTTGAAGAGATGGAATTCCTGTCTTACCCTTCTCATTGCGCACGGGAATGGCGCCCGCGGTGCTCTGAATGCCCGTGGGGGCAGTGGCGGCACTCATCTCGTCTTTTTCTAATTAATTTTGCGTGTAAATAACCAATTATTGCTACAATTTGTTTTTTTCCTCACGATATAAGAAACTAGGGATGGTAAATAGTCGATAAAACAATGAAATCTATTTCTTATCAATAATCGATTAATCAATCGGGGTTTGAGTGTGACCATATATTACATGTTACGAATTTCAGGCAGAGTGGCAGCACTATAACCAAAAGCTGTTAATTTTAAATTAGGAAATCATTTTTGGCTTTATTTTGCATTTACTTTTTTGTCTTTTTTTTAGCATTTTAAAAAGTTTAAAATAGGAAAGTGCTTTGACTTTAAGGCCAACAACTAATTGAGACATTCAATTAAGGTTTGAATTAGACATACATATATGTTGTTTAATGCCCACTGATAGAGAAACAATTGAATTGATAAATAGTATAATAGATAACTTAAAATGAATTAAAATTATGTTGACAAAACGGATAAGAAAGTAAGCTTTTCAGGTATTAAAAAGGAGCTGATCTTGGGGCTAAGGCCTTCATTGTTCGTTTATCTTCTGACTATAGAGCGAATTTCTTTTTAAATTGTAAGACTTTTTCTCAGTGCCCCTCTTATTTGGATATAATTTTTAGCAATGCCAGCGCCCACTGTCATTAGTGCAATAATTGACTACTACGCTTTCTCTCCAGACAATTCATAAATATTGATGGGCGGCCAGCTACACACATCCGATCTTGATCTTGTGTAATTACGGAATTAAATAACCCCAAGCGTGAGGAATTGTTCCAAAAAATTCCTCATATATTGATATATCGTTTGGTTTTTTTATTATTTTTTTTTCGACAGCACGCAGTCAGCACGTGCCATCTGGTTATGTAAATAAAGTTCTTACATCGGATGCCGATGCCCAGTTAACATACCAGACCAAAGTCCGAAAGAACAACCTGATGAGCAAGAGGCTCGACCAGTTTTGTGACGTCTCACCGGCCACTTGCATCTGTATAAGCAGAGTTTCTAGTGTTTTTGTTGGATATTACTCGGTGATTTGTTGTAGTAGGATCGTTTCGGGCCTAAACACTCTGCTGCGTCGCATTTGCCGAACTGCTTTGAACTGCTTTTGGTCGGCTCAGGCTTGGGTGCACAGTATCTGGTAGTAATGTAGTTGGAATGGCCAAGATTTACATGAGAGTCGGTTAGTTAACGACACGGCGGGCATATTTAATTAATGCAACACGCTTCGGAGCTCAAATGCAATTCCCCTCGCCTATCTTCGGAAGTAGAGATATGTCCCCTCACTGACCTTAGGCCAAAACGCGTTGATTTGGAGACTTTCCGTCCGGCTGTCTGGCCGGGGAAGTCCCCCGTAAATTCGACATTAATTCATTGATCTTATTTCGATGCATAAGAGCCGGCATTCCTCCCTCCCCCGGCCACGTGCATTTCCCTTAATACTTTTATTTAAATTTATTGGGATTGGAGGCGGGAAAGGGATCTCCTTTTGAACTGGCCCGGCGCCCGGAGTGCGCGAGGTTTCAATTCAAAATTGCCACTAATACATTTCAATTAAAATTAAACACTCACACTCGAGCGATATAAAAAAATTGTAAACAAATAATTTTCTATTAGCGGGAAAGAAAGAGTGTCATGCCTGATCAAAATCGTACCAGATCGAACTCGTTATCGTTATCCAAGTAGGAGACATAACCAAAGCCATAGCGGCAATTGAGGCGAGGCGACAAAAAAATAACAATACAAAATAAATACGAGAAAGAGAGATAAAATCGTTTCGAAGATTATTAATTGGCGCACTTTTTTTCCTTTGTTGCGAGTTACTTAAAAAGTAATAAAGGGTGCTGAGCCAAATGGAAATATTTACACCATCACGCAACCGAATCTTGCCAAGAAAGCACTTGGCACATCTCTCTGCTGTCCAACAATTAAGCTTTTCAGCTTTGTTTACCGAGCATTTCCATTACTGGTCAACTCTGGTCAATTGGCGAATGAATCTCCGGTCTCCGATCTCCATATCTGCAAAGGAGTTGGGAAAATACCGGATATTTTCCGCATATAATCTTCGAGGAATCCGTAGTTTCCGATTCAATGAATCAGAACGTTGCAATTCCGAAATAAATTGAATTGAATTGAATTGAAAATCATTTTTTCTTTTTATGGTTTGGCAAACATATTTTCATTAAATTTAGCTCGCTGCAGCGAATCAGAATTTGTATTATATTCACCGATTACTTAACCCCACGAGTGTTTGTTTTTCATTGAAAGTCAACAAAGTTGCGTCTAAAAAAAAGGGGTCTAAAAAGAGACAGAAATTTATAACTTAACTTGATTTATATTTTAAAAAATAAAAGTGCTGTGGGTAAAAGCTTGTATAAACTAATAAATTATTTAGCTAATATTTCAATGAATCTTTCAATGACGGCGGCAGTTACAAGCGATTTATTTGACAGCAAATAGGTTTAGTATTATTTAAGCTCTTACAAAAAATCTATTGATTATAACTAAATTTACTTTGAGCACTTTAGTGACTCTTAAATAAACTTTGATTAGTATACAACTATTTATTTATCAATGTCAATACTTGATCAACTTTAATATTTTCCTGAGTAATTTCCTGTTATAAATATGTAAATAAACAGCACTTTACTAATTGATGTTGAACTGTGAATAAAAATTAAAAACAAATAAATTAAACATTAACTTGATACATTTATATTAAGAAATTTTATATTATAATATGGTAAAACTATTGAAAATTATTTTATAAATTTTTTATAAATCTTAGAGATTTTTTTAACTCTACAAAAAAAGTTGCCTATATTTTTGCTTCGGCTTTCTATTGATTTTTCTCTCTCCACAACGATCGGCGATCGCATATCCGGCGTGGCTTGAGCTTCGGCTTCGTCTTGTGATTCTGTCTTGCCTTTTTGCCTGCTCTTAGTTCGATCTTCGCTCTTTTTCCGGCTTTTAAAGGCCCCCCGACGAAGAGAGATCGAGTTCATTGAGATGTGGGGTTCCCGATGCGAAGCTCCGCCGAGTGCTGTGATCTGTGATTTTGCCTGCGCCGCCTTGGGTGTCGTATAAAATAGCGTAACGGCCGCTTGCAAAACTCATTCATTTCAAAATTGTCAATACGTTCGAACCGCCAGGAGAATCAAGCCCATCAAACAGTGCTCAAAGTCAACGAAAATACACCAAGGATCCAAGGATAATATAAAAAAAGGATTATAATTCCTAGTGATATATATAAACAGTTTATTTTTGTGAACAATATAAAAAAACACGTTAATGAAATACAGAAATAATCGTGGCACTATCCTGCAAATACAGTTCAGAACATTTCTAAGATATCATAATCTCATGTTTGATTCCATTTGAGTGCTAAAACGAAGACGACAACTGAAGGATTTCGAATTTAACGGATTGGAAAATAACTTAAGCGAGGTGAGAAATCAAATGAATGTCAAAGTGTTTAATTGTGAATGTGC